ACCAGGAGATATTAGCAATTCACACTATTCCCAACCAGGCAATTAAGCAAACTGAGCCCCACAAAGAAAATAGGATAATTATAGCAGTTCTAATTAAAGTAGTTAGACTCATTCTACTTTAAAAAGGGAGGGGGGAATCACTCCCTGCAGCTTGATGATACTTATTCAATTAATTGAGTTTGAGTTAGTTAGCTGGATATTTAAGGGAAGGATATGTTTTCCCTCTCCTGTAGAAAATCACATACTTGAGTGGAATTAACTTCAAGGTATTTTATTTTGGGGGAATATGCTAACATTTTCCTTACTAAAGATTTAGTGGTTATAATATACTGAATCTTGTTCCCACAAAAAACTTTTGAGGAGAACCAGCTTCTTGCCATTTCTACTTCAAATGCAGGTGATGTTCACACATTATATTTCTCTACAAACAAACAAGGTCACCGTTATATGGAAAATTAACATGCTGGTCAGGGAGAAGGATTTTAATGAAGGTGGCTATTGATAGATCATCAAAATAAAAAGGACAACCAAAATAAAGAATGAAAAAGGAGTAGAGATCTGCATATGATAATATACACAGACATATAGCAATAGTACTTAGACTTATATACTGCTTCACAGGTCTTTTTACAGACCTCTCTAAGCGGTTTACAGAGTCAGCATATTGCCCCCAACAATCTGTGTCCTCATTTTACCCACCTCAGAAAGATGGAAGGCTGAGTTAACCTTGATGTTGGTGAGATTTGAACTGCCAAATTGCAGGCAGTTGGCAGTCAGAAGTAGCCTGCAGTACTGCACTCTAACCACTGTGCCACCGTGCTCATATTCTGTCATAATTGCTCATATTCTGTCACAATTCTTATTTGAATAAATGTATAACAGAATTCATTATAGTCAGGAAGACTAACATGATGGCCAACTTTGAAACTCAGCACTTATGGCAACTTCAGAACTTTTACACTTATTTTTAAACCAGATATGAACTGAAATAACCATCTGTAGAATAAGTAAGGCATCCGATTCAACGCTGTATCTAGACCACGGATGTCAAACTTGCAGCGTCACGTTGCCGTCATGTGACATTTCATGGTGCTTTCCACCTTTGCGGGGATGGGCGTGGCCTGCACGTGACACATCTGGCCCACGAGCTGCCAGTTTGATATTCCTGGTCTAGACCAAGGTGTTCTTTAATAGGTCACTTGTTGGAATTTTTAATGTGTCTTTTTTCTATGGTCACAGATTCAGTCATGGGAAGTTTTCCTGCTTACTCCTCCAAGTGACGCAGACCAAAAGGCACATGTTAGGCACATCTTCTGTTGCTTCTGAAAACAACTAGGTTTCAATCCACTGAAAATGGGAGCTTTCAAAATACTGAGTTGTTTCAGTTGCAGTTTAAATAATTGAAAACACTGACCATCAATGACAGGACCACGTGCTGCTACATTACTGTCTGCATAGCTTTTAATCATAGGTCACTACCATCAGGATACTTTTTACCACCCCAAAATAATTTCCTGATCTATGTAATTCTATGTATTGTTTACATTCAGCAGCTAAAATTATTTCTATCTTTTGCAAAAAAAAGAAAAAAAAGAATGATGTCTCAGTTTTCCACTGATGAGGCTTTGTAAAACTATGAATCATCTCTTTTCCCACTGACAAAAAATCTTGCCTTATTGTATCTCCCCAAATTCAGCTTAAGTGGCATTTTATCTACAGGTCTTGTGAGGGAAAATGGCTCACCAGCCACTCATATTTGTTGTTATGTTCCACAAATATACACCATCCAAGTAATTCTGCTTCAAAATAGAGCTAGATTGATCTGGAATGTTTTGACTGTAAAGCTTGCAATTGTCTTCCCTCATATTGTAACCCAAAGCGACAGAGCTAGAGCAAAAATTGACAAGATTTATCTCTGGTTCCCTCTTTTCTGCAACTACTTATGGATGGAATGATGGGATACTAGTATTTTTTTCTTTTTTTTGTGTATAGGAGGAATGGGCTTGAATCCAGGACTTGTGTCCCCTTTCCCTTCACAAAGAACAAATGCAATAGAACAGCGGTCACCCACCGGTGAACCACGAGAAAATTTTGGTGGGCCGCAGAGAAATCTCACCCCCAGAGCACCCCCACAAAGCAATTAATCCAGGCTGTGCAGAAACACAAGGCTGCGCCGCCCACATGGCCCGTGGGAACCCTCCTCGCCCACTCACTCCTTACCCGGTAAACTTGCCTGGTAAATTGCTACTTTTCCTTTTTCCGACCATCAGGTGTTTTGCTGTGCTGGGAGATTTAGATTAGTTAGGAAGCAGGAAATGGTTGGATTTCTTGCTTTCTAGCTAGTCTTTAGATCCTCGGCTCAGCACAGCTGAACCTCCCTTAGGACTGAAGTTTTGCTTGCAAGCAAATTGAGTGCAGACTCACGGCAAGCAAATTTGAGAGACTGAGCTAGCCGATGGCAGATAGATAGATCACTGAATGATTCTGCGAGCAACTCAATCTGCCTGCTTTGCCTGATTTTGGGTAAAAGTTGCTCTTTTTTATAAAAAAAAATCAATATTTACATACATGGTGTGTTGTGAGTTAATTTTGTGAGTTTGCTTGCTAGCAAATTTTATGAGTTTGCTTGCAAGCAAATTTTATGTGACAGACTGAGCTAGCCAATGGCAGATAGATGAATGAATGAATCTGTGATTCTGTGAGCAACTCAATCTGCCTGCCTGCTTTGCCTGATTTTGGGTAAAAGTTGCTCTTTTTTAATAAAAAATTCAATATTTATATAAATATTTATAATATTTACATACAAGCCATGCCCAGCCAGACACATGACCAAGCCACACCCACAAATTAGGCTACGCCCACCAAACTGGTTAGTGGTCCCTGGGATCTAAAATTATGAGTTTGGTGGTCCCTGAGGTCCAAAAGGTTGGCAACCCCTGCAACAGAGGTAGTACTTGACTGATGACCATTTGTTTAATGACTGAGTTACAATAGCATTGAAAAAAGTGACTTATAAAGACTGATCCTCACCCTTACGACTGTTGCAGCATCCACATGGTCATGTGATTAAAATCCCGGCACTTAGCAACTGGCATATATTTACAAAAGTTGCAATGACCTGGGCTCATTTGATCCCCACTTACGACTTTTCCAGGGTGCTCCAAGGTCTTCAAGCTGAGCTTAGGGGGAAAAGCTCGGTCGAAGCAATCAGACTGCCTACTGTCCTATGAATGACTTTGGAAGACAATGTCCAGGGAGAAAAGGGTGAGAGGCATGCTTTGTATTAGCTAAAAGTGAGCAACTGTTACCAAGGCTATTTCCGTTCAAATTGTTCCATCAATGAATGGTCAGTGAAGTGTATCAGATTGTACCCATGGCAGAACCCAGTGGCGGATTAAGGCTCACTGGTGCCCTAAGCACTGACAAATCTTGGTGCCCCCCCCTCCTTTGTACATGCTGTACAAACAAAGCCAAGCTTAAGCTACATAAAAGTTTTTGTGGTGCCCCCTTTGGGCCTGGTGCCCTTAAGCACGTGCTTAGTCTACTACTTAACCTGTGCAGAGCCTGTGTCACATTTTTAACCACTGACAGAGTTAAGGAAAAAAATAAAGTTTAGGTATGGGAGGGAAGGAGGAGGAAGAGCAAAGAGCATGCTGTGCAGGAGCTAGGATCAGGTGTGAAAAGGATCTTAGTTGGACACATTAACTGTTTCATAATATTTGTTTGAAGCAGGCCTGGGAATTCCTCTCACCAAGCTTGGTGAAGATCCTTTGCCTTTAATTGCATGACAGCTAAAAGTTAGTCTGATAATCTCCACCTGCATCTACACGCAGTTGAAATCCCTGGTGAATTCTTGCTTGTCTGTCACAAACCAACTTAGTTGTCTGCCGCTTAAGAATGTGAAAGGTTGCTCATCTGATATTCCAACCCACTGAGCTCAATTTCCTGGATTCGCATAATTCCCTGAACCCCTAGCCTAAGAGGGGTTCGCATCCCGAGTTAGGCTATGAGGCGTTGGGTGCTTGTTTGTGGCTCAGAGCAGCCTGCCACGCACACAAAGCAACGTGTGCAGCGGCGCTTCCCTCCTCCGAGCAAACAAGCTGAAAAAAAGACCCGCAGCACTAAAAGCACAGATCCCGGTGGTGGGACGCTCGTTCCCTCACCAGTAATTAATCCTCGCAGCTCTTTTCCCAACCCCTTTCCCGGTGTCTTGGACTGCCATATGTCAGAAATGGTGTAGGGTCTCCCGCTTGGGTGGGGGGTTGGACTAGATGACCTACAAGGTCCCTTCCAACTCTGATTAACTGTTATCTGTCTTAGATCCAGAAACTCCCAGGAGCCGAGCTTGGCGGGCGCCGCTTTGGAAGCGCCAATTGTGGCGCCAGCTAACAAGAGCACCGGGAGCTGGCGACTTCCGGTTTGCAGGGCTTCGGCAGCAGGCAGGAATCCGTGATCGTGCACGGTTTCTGCCTGGGCTCGCCGCTGGAGCGTCCCGAGCCATTTGGCTTCAGGGCTAAGCCACCCCATAGAGGTGGTGAAGAGGGGGGAGATCCCAGCAGGGTAGAGGAAAGCCGCATCTTTCCTCCCCAGCTGGCTAAACTCCCTTTTCCGAAGGCGGTAAGAGCGGCGGTCAGAAATGGCTGCCTCAAAGAAGCACTCATCCAGAAAAGAAAGTGCAGGAGGAAGTTAAGAAGTGAAAGTTTTGGCTGACCAGGATAAGAAGCAACAACTAAGATACTCTGGAATTTAAATTTTTTTAAAAAAGATACATCGCTCCCAAAGAAGATTCGGAAGCAGCGAATGAAAGTGAAAAGGGAAAGGTTTTTTTTCCACTCTCCTTCCTTACGTTGACAGCGAACAGAGATGAACGAGAAATCAGAAAAACCCGCTTTGGCATTAATAGGTAATTAAACTGGATAATTAAATGTCAAGGGGATAATAAGGATTTCTGAACACTAAAAAAAAACTGTTTTTCTTTGCTGTAAGTGGGAAGGGAGAGGAAAAGAATAAGAGCAGGATCTGGAAGGAGGAGACTGCCTGGAATTTAAAAGAATCTGATTAAATCTTAACAAGACTTCTAAAAGATACATTTTAACTGGAACTTTGTAACTAAATAGTAACCCCAGGAAGAGAAAGTGAAAAAAGAAGAAAGTGTTAAAAGAAACAGCTTGTGTGTATTTGGATTGCTTGGTGACTTTGGGACTTTTGGAAATTATATTTGAATGACTAAAAACACTTGGGTGGTTGTTTAAAAAAAATTTTTTTTTTACAATGGCATTACTTGTGGATGAACTGAAAATGGAATTTAAAAAATACAAAGAAGAGGAACAAGAAGGGAAGGGCTCTTTTGGCTCCGTTTTTCAATTCTTAGAAATGGTGATCTGTACCTATGAGAAACTACAAGAAAACACTGCGCAACAAGAAGATTGGGACAAAGAAGAAGCCATCTTTAACGAACAAGTAACTTTACTTGGGGAAAGGGGGGAAAGAGAATGGAGACTTTAAGACCTAAAAAACAACCAAAAAAGGGAAAAATAAGGTGAAAAGTGGATATAATGTTAGAAAGCAACAGAAAAGGGGAACACAGAAGAGGGAAATGGAGGTGGAGAGACAAAGGGGTAAAAAGGGCAGAGAGAAGAAGCAAGGGAGGAAGGAAGGGAAGAGAAGTTACAAAGGTGTGGAGCAAGATGTAAAGAAACAGGACTTATTCCGAGATAATGGGTAAAAATTTAACTGAAAAAGTGATTCTGCAAAGGTACATAAGATTGTATTGTCATATTTGTATTAGAAATAATCTTAGAAAATTGGAAACAACATATGATTAAAAAGTGGGATAAAATACTTAGTGTAATTCAGTGAAACTTTTGTGAACAAAATAAATGAAATGAAATAAATGAGAGAATTGAATTAGGAAGGAATGGGAACATTTTAATGACATAATGTTTTAAAATATAAGTGAAGTGGGGGGGAAATAACTATGGAAAGTTTATAAGTGTTCCCATAGAAGCATGATACTTATTTGAAAAGTAATGTGTAAAATGTTTAAGATTTAAATGATTATTAATATTAATGATAGATTTGAATTGGTATGGATTGTTGTTTTAATTATATTATATATTTATAATTTTTTCTCTTTTTAAAATATAGTGTGTAACTTTAGAATGTACTAAGCAGAATCCGAATGGAAGTTATGTATTTAGGGGAAAGATATAAAGGCGTCATAATCCAATCAGTGATCACAGGAGAAATTATGTTTAATGAGAAAAGACAATAGACAGCTGAAACAGGACAAAGAATATAAGTATAATGATCTGAATTGAGATGAAATAAATAAAATAAAATAAAGAAAGTTAAAAGAGGGGAGAAGCTATATACAAAATGTAGAATGGTAATAAGATATGGAATGGTATATAAAATGAGGATGAATTTGAATTTGTGTCTGTACCAAGAGATGTAACCCGGGATCAAGCTGCTTTCAAAAAAGATGTTTTATGTTTTTATGTTTTTATGTTTTGTTTGTTTATGTTTGTTTTTAAAAATTAATAAAAAATTTATATAAAAAAAAAGAGCACCGGGAGCAGCACCTTCCTAGCGGGAAGATGCTCAGCCGGCGATGGCATCCTTCTCCTCCTCCTCCTCCTCTTCTTCCTCCGCGCCTGGCTAGCGTTCTGCCTCTTGCCCTCCCAGAGGAGGGCTGCTTCGGGGCGGGGGGGGCTGCTGTGGTCTGGCGGCGAACGATTCCTCCCTCTGACATCATAATCCGGGTAGCCTGGATGTTCCAATAAGAAATGCTTGCTGGGGGTGCGGTGGGAGGAGGTGGCGGCGGCGGCGGCGGCGGCGTGACTCATGGATTCCTCTCGGGGCTGGCTCCTCCCCTCCTAGCCCCTTCCCATCTCCTCCACATGGGCTACCTCGCAAGCCTCCCGGTGCTGAGAGGGGTGGAGTTGCTGGTGGGAAAGGCTGCTCTTCCGTTTCCCTAACTCTGCCTTGCACCTTGAAGCCCAGCCGCGTGGTGGTTGAGCGGCCGATGGGGCATGGAGGGAGCGGAGGAGGAGGAGGAGGAGAGCGGGCACGTCTTCTCCAGCTACCCAGCCGTCCGGCGTGTCAGCATTGCAGTGGATGAGACTAACGTCCTGCCGGGGGCTCTGCAGCTGATCCGAACGCTCAGACCACAATGGGAGACGGAGCGCGTTAAAACCAAGGTACGAAGGCAGAGAGAGAGAGTTCGCTCCCAGCCGGCAGCCAAAACGCACCGCTGCGGCGAGACTCCTCGGCATCTTCCTGTGAGGATACCGAGGGCATAGAAGGAACAACAGCGAGGGGCGTGGGGGCGGGAATGGTATGCCGGAAGTGCAATTCACCCTCTTAGATGGGTGTTTGTTTGTTTTTAAGGAACATTCAACAGGTCGAGGTTGGGTTTGGTAGTGCGAGCCTTTCCCCATTAAGATGGACCGGGCAGCACCTTAGCTCTTTCCTTTAAGCTTTAGCTGCACCTCTTACCCAGGAACATAGTGATTTAACTCGCCCATTGGATTTTCTGATCACTTGTCTTATCAAGGTGATCCAAAATTAGATCTTTTTCATCCTTTCTGTACAGGGATGTGGGTTTGAATCTTCCACCGTAGTTGGCATGCGGAGTGAGGTCCTTCAGGCACACAGATTATGATCAGGAGGCTGTTCTGAATGTTTAGTGGATGAAACACCCACTTTGTTCTTTATGATCTCTAAACACCAGCTGAATGCTATTTTCCTCCACAAAATCACCTGATGGTTAAAAGGAATTGATTTTTAAGTGGAGAGATTTCCCGCCAGTTCATTGTAGTCTAGTTGTGTTTAAGCATCAGGTGTGATTGCAGGCATACTGTCTTTAGTTTGGAGAGAGGGATTTGATAGTTGCTGCCTCCTATAATTTTTATTTTTGTGACTCAGTGGTCATATCTGTAAAATAGAAATAGAATGAACATTCTCTTACTCAGAAATAGCATGAACATTAATTGTTCCAATGTTGGCCACCATCCATTTTTCATTCTGCAATCTTGAATCCCTTCTAAAGCATGTAAATCAATCTATGTTGGTTTACTTGTATTGTCTTTACAGCAATCTCGGAATAACAAGCCACTCATGACTTTAGCAAGTCATGGAATAAGGAGTGCATTTCTGAGCTACACCTTTTTTTTTCTTCTTCACAGCTTTTTGCACTTCAGTGTAAGTAAAGCACTTAGCCAGGATTGCAGAAATTGCCCTGTAGCCATGCCCCCCTGATCTCAAGAGTCTTAAAGGAAAAATCTATAAATCACACAGTTGTATGGAAGTATGCTGGTTCTTTATAGGTGCCTTTTCCATGATGCAGCCAATTCATATCTAGAAAAGTTAATTTTATCATATCTGTTTATATAATAGTTGTGCTCTTCAGAATAAATAAGATTTTATGTGAAATACAATATACAGAGTCCCTGACTCAAAGCAGTTAATGACACAGTCTCACAAGATTGCAACTTTGTGCTAATAGTTTTAAGTAGTTTTACATGTTGGACACAGGGATAACTATGCTGAATAATCTGTAATTAAGAAAAACACATTTGATTTACTTGAAGCATCTTCTACAGAGTGAAAGTAGTATGTAGTCTGATCTTGGACCATCTCTGGATGAACTGACAATTTCTACTTTGCATGCATGAATGTGTAGTTACCCTTGTCTTGCCAAATAACAGTTATTGGTCCCTCTATTACCAAAGTAGGTACTTTGATGTTGGTTAATAAGTGAACCTCCACTTTAACCAAACAGGAAGAATTTCTGTTCCTCTTTTTTTGAAACTGTGCCAGCAAAACAAAAACATATGTTCGTATTCCCTTGCAAAGAGTAACACTGCCTTGGAAATACCTTTTCTACTAAGCTGCTTCTAAACCTGGATTCTAGAACTATCTTCACTTTTAAGTAGCTATGGACAAACTCAGTTTGGAAATCAACTGAGATATTATTTTCTATATTGAAGACCCGGTTTGTTTTTTTTTGTTTGTTTCCTACACCCATTTCCAACAATGGATTCAAAGCAAGGCTCTTCTCCAGCCCCTTCTGTGAGCCCCCAGATACCTCCTCTACCACCATGAGCTTTTGAAAAGGCCAAACCAACCAGCTCTACATGGGGGCCTTCTTGGGCAACAGATATGGATGTGCAGCAGGTGATGGGTGATTTATTATTACACTGTTTTATACTGCCAAGAAAGGTGAAGGATGCTTTTGAGACATGCATACTATAAACAACACCTTCTGGCTTGGGTAATATGCCCCTTGATAGGGGGTTAGAGAATGATGGACTTCTACCACAGATAGTAATATACCTGGGCCTGCTGAAGCTCAAGATCCTGCCCCTCCTTTTTTTCTTCTTCTTCTTCAACAAGTGGCATTTGGTAGTAAACAAGTGTAGCTGAAGGTCTCTGGGAAGCTTCCATTTCACTAAGTCCCTGGAGTCTGAGCAGCTATGTTGCTGTATTCAGAATGCCATTGAGGAAGGCAGATGTGGACTGAGACCTTTGGGGAAAGCTCACTTCGTTGTGATAAAGTGAAAATAAACTCTGTCCTGGTGTCTTGCAGAGAATTCTACTGGTTCTATTTTTTTTCCTACCAGTTCTAATTCAGTATGAAAAAGGATGTTTGCTTTCATTATTTCTTTTAGAACAAGAAAGAATGTTGATCATGTTCTTATGAATAAAATAAAATATGCTACTCTTACATTTGCTTAGGTAGGAGGTGGGCAGTGTGAATTGTCCAATCTATTATTTTTTGCTTATCTTTTCGGTTCTTCAGCCACTCTGGCTTTCCATGCTGCAGATCCCCAAGGAACCCCTGGAGACCATTTTCATATTGGGAAGTGTGGTGGCAGTCAGGGATGCTGTGAGTGATTGAACGATGTGTAGCCTAAACCATCTTCCACTACCTACAATAAAATAAACTTACAAACACTTCTTCTTGAGGGCGATGGTTCGTTCTTTGAGCTTATGCGTTGGTTTCTGAATGTTTCATTACCAGGCTAGGTAACATTTTCAATGGAGTTTAGGGGGGTGTCAGTGTCAGTGTTCTTCTGCTTATAAGGATTTTGTGTGGACAGTAGGTCTTGTGATGGTGAGGTCACATCAGGTGAAGATCCCATCAGGTCAGGGTCTTGTGATGTGACCTTACTACCCCAAGACCTCCTGACCTCCTGAAACCCTTATAAACAGAACACTGTCACTGTCATCCCCTAAATCTGCTAAAGATGCTACCTAGCCCGATAACAAAATGTTCAGAAACCAACCCACAAGCTCAGAGAATGAACCTTCACCCTCATCCTATATCTGAGCTACATAATACAGATGTTCAGCACTATTGCCGCCATCTTCTTCTTCCTCCTCCTCCTCCTCCTCCTCCTCCTCCTCCTCCTCCTCCTCCTCCTCCTCCTCCTCCTCCTCCTCCTCCTCCTCCTCTTCTTCTTCTTCTTCTTCTTCTTCTTCTTCTTCTTCTTCTTCTTCTTCTTCTCCTCCTCCTCCTCCTTCTCCTTCTCCTTCTCCTTTTCTTTCTCCTCCTCCTCCTCTTTATTATTATTATTCATCACATGTTGTTGTTGTTGTTGTGCTATGGCAGAGTCTGCTTAAAATAAACTTAGAAACACTTAACAAGAGAAATTTGAAAGGCTTTCTCCAGTACCCAACAGTAAGGTAGAACAGAAACACTTTTATCGGGGAAAGAAAACTCCTGAGAAGTTGCAAACCAGATTACAGCAGCATCAAGCATCAGATGTATTACTACAAGCATCATTCCCTGCTGTGATTCCCAATCCTAATACCTTGTAATACTAAGATAAAAAGATTCACCTATTCATAGAAACATAGAAAACTGAGGGCAGAAAAAGACCCAGTGGTCCATTGAATTTGCTGTTTGAGTATTTTGTTTGATTGTGTTTTCTTTTTTATTTATTCTTTTTTATTTTATTAATTTTTGCCAGATGATAGACATGTATTTATCCTAAGTTACTAATGACCGCCTTTGCTTGAAGTCGGTTCCCAGCTTCTACTACTCTTTCTGTGAAGTAATACTTTCTAACATTACTTTTGAATCTCTCTCTTGTCAGATTGAGGTTATGCCCCTGGGTTCTTGACATTTGCTTAATATTGAAACTACTACCTTCTAGAAACTTATGCAGACCCTCAATATATTTAAATGTTTCAGTCATGTCCTCCCATTCCCTCCTGTTCTCCAGGCTGCACATGTTCAGTTCCACCAATCTCTCCTGATATGTTTTGTCCCACAGACCTTGCCACAGAGTCTGGAGATGAGCAACATTTTTGTTGCTGGTCTTCGGACTTACTCAATTTTATCAATATTTTTTTTAATGAGGTCTCCAGAAGTGTATTCCAAATGGGGTCTGACTAAAGCCCTATATAATGGGATTAGGGACCTGCTCTTTCCTACTGGTGATCCCTCTAGTGATAATCCCAAAATGTTGTTTGTCTTCACAGTTGCCTGGCCATACACTGTTTATTCATTTTGCAGTCATCTGCTATGAGCACACCTAAATCCTTTTCTTCTGTTGTTCTGTCTAACGCTGTACCCCACCCCAATACTATAGTCTGCCAGTGGATTCATTTATTCATTAATAGAAAAAGCACTCATCCCCATAAAAGCTACTGCAGATTAAAAAGGAGGAGGGAACCATGACCATTGTTACTGACTGGGAGAAATGATATCCTGACCCCCTGTTTGATGTGATTCTGAAGGGATGCAGGCTTGTTGGCTGTGACTCTCTACCCAATTTGGCTGGGTGCCCTCATCAAGCAGATTCTCAGCAAGCCTGGGGAGTCTGTGGCAGAAGGATCATTACAAATTTATAAATTGTCAAGTATAATCAAATGGAAAAAATCAGTGGGAAAATAAATGGGAAAGGTCATCTATAAAGAGCCGGGGGGGTGGGGAGGGGGGAGAAATGCTAAGACTATGAGTTCTCTAGGATAGTTTGTTCCTCTGCATGCACAGCTTTGGTTTCTGCACCAATCACATCTTTTCTGGAGTAGGGGTTCTCCTTATAATCATTCATGCCTTGATTACCACATGAAACAGTCCTTGAAGACCACCCAGAAACTGAGGCTGGTGCAAAATATCATGCTGTGAGCAATTACGGGCACTTCTTAAAGTGTACAAGTTACACCTATGCTCCACAAGCTTCCACAA